ATGCATAACTGACTGAGCCACCCAGGTGCTCCAGAGAAGAACTTCTTATATAAAACATAAAATTACAGCCTATACAGGAAAATATTGATCAATTTGACCAAATACAAATTTAGAATATCTACACGACAGAAGACACTATAAACAAAGTTTCATAGCAAGCCAGAGAGAGAAGATATTTGCACATGCTCTTTGATTCTCTTTTTGTGTGTATAGATATCTGTGTGTGTATCACATGATGATCTTTCTATCTCTCCATCTACTTCTTAAACAAAAGGGTAGTCTCCAAAATAATAATGAACTACAAATAAATATGAAGCACATAAACAATCCAAGAAAAAATGAGCCAAGATAATGAACAGGTGCTTTTTAAGTAGAAATCTGAATGGCCAAATATAGGAAAAGGCTATGTTAGTGATAAAGGGAGTTCAAATTAAAATGAGATATTATTCTTAGTCATCAGATTTGCAAAAATTGAAAGGTTTCATGATACCAAATGTTAGCAAGGATGTGAAGAAATAGGAACTCAAGCACTGCTGATGAGAGGGTAAATTGGTACAACCTCTTCATGAAAAATTTGAGAGTACTTAGAAAAATTGAAAATATACACAACTTAGGACCCAGCAATTTGACCTTTAAGTATTTACCATAGAGAAGTTCTCTGTATGTGTGGAGAACACGTGTACAAGGATGTTTATTGTAGCTTTATTGAAATAAAAAGTTGGAAACAACTCAAGTATTCAGTAGTAGGAGATTTGATGAATAAGGTTATTCATTTATTCCACAAATATTTATTGAGAGTCTTATAATGTGCCAGGCACTGGAGTTAATACTGAAAGTATGACAGGCACAGTCCTTACTCTCAAGGACCCTACTGTCCAGCAGATGAGAGACATTAAACAAATAAGTACAAAAGTTATCAATCCTATTATGATATTTGTGATAAGCAGAAGTATAGGCTGCTATAAAACTACAGAAGGAGACCAAATTGGAAAGGTTGCTAACAGATGTATTTCAAAGTAGCTTAAACATTAAGGGGATGTATTAACATACACAAGCAGAAGTCCTATGTAGGGATGGCTCTAGGTTGGTTAATTCAGTGCCTCTCTGACATCAAGGACACGTGTTCTATTCATCTTCTGACTGCTAATCTCAGCATGTTGGCCTTATCTTCACCTACCACTCTTTAAAGTAGCAAGTGTTTATTTCAGCACCAAGCTAGGATATATGACTGATATGACAGAATCCAGTGGAAGAAAGACTTTTTCTTCTTTGTATTATTTCTTTATTACAAATATTGAATTTTTATATGTTAATAATTTTATATTAAAACTTTAAAATTTTGATATTATGAATTATTCACACATAGAGAAGATAAAAACCTTGTGTATATACTTTTGAGAGTAACAAAACTGTACTCAACAAGAAAAATACAATATTGCTTTTATGTATTTAACTTTTAGTTCAAGTATAATTAACACACAGTGTATGTTAGTTTCAGGTATATAATATAATGATTCAACAATTATATCCATTACTCAGTGCTCATCACAATATGTGTATTCTTTTTTTTTTAAGATTTTATTTATTTATCTGACACAGAGAGAGAGACAGCTAGAGAGGAAACACAAGTTGGGGGAGCGGGAGAGGGAGAAGCAGGCTCCTGGCTGAGCAGGACCCTGGGATCATGACCTGAGCCGAAGGCAGACGCTTAACGACTGAGCCACCCAGGTGCCCCTCAATATGTGTATTCTTGATCCCCTTCATCTGTTTCACCCATCCCCCCACCCACCTCCCCTCTGGTAACCACCAGTTTGTTGTCTATAGTTAAATCTGTTTTTTTGTCTCTTTTATCTTTGTTCATTTGTTTTGTTTCTTAAATTCCACATATGAGTGAAATCATATGGTATTTGAGTAATTTTTTTATCTTTGTGTGCTTCTTCTACCCAATTATAGCCCTCCCATGCCAAAAAAACCCCGCTATCGCAATGTTACCAATGATTTTGTATTTCTTGTTTCTGATTTTTTGAAAATGGAATCAAACTATATTTTGCTTCTGTTACTTGCTTATGGCTTTCAAAGTTGTGTTTTTAAGAACTATCCATGTTGTTACAGGTAGTTCTAGTTTATTTTTATTGCTGCATAATATTCCACTGTATGAATTACTACAAATTATTCATTCTATTATTGATGGGCATTTGTTTTTAGTTTTTCACCATTATAAAAATGTATATAGTATTTTCTTGCATCATTTATTGATTTTTAATTCAATTCCACTGTGGTCAGACAAAATACTTTCAATATTAATCAATAATAAAATGAGATCTTATTTATTTGAGAGAGAGAGCGAGAGAGTGTGCGCACAAGCAGAGGGGAGGGAGAGGAAGAGGGAGAAGCAGATTCCCCGCTGAGCTGGGAGCCTGATGTGGGGCTCAATCCCAGGACTCTGAGATCATGACCAGAGCCAAAGGCAGATGCTTAACCAACTGAGCCACCCAGGTGCCCCGATAGAACGAGATCTAAAAAATGTTCAAATTTCTGGAAATTAAGTGATACACCTCTATATAACTCATTTCTTCATGCATGCCATTTTTTAGTAAAAGTTATGATTCAAAAAGTTCCAAATTCTGGGATTTTATTTCCATACATTTGGGCATAACCCTGGCAGGATCTAGAGCAACACAGATCCCTAAAAACAGTAGACATAGTACAAAAACCAACAGCACACATAGTAAGACCACTTGATGTCTTACTTTCATGCCCTTCCTTATGTTCCACAAAGAGATTCCTAGGCAAAAGTCCATCTCTGAGATGGCTTCAGGTCAGAAAAAGCTTTTATCATTTTCTAGCCTCTGTGCTACCCTCTCTACTTTTTAAAAAGTGTTTTTTCCCTTTTTTCTTTTTTTTTTTAAAGATTTTAATTATTTGACAGATAGAGACATAGCGAGAGAGGGAACACAAGCAGGGGGAGTGGGAGAGGGAGAAGCAGGCTTCCCGCTGAGCAGTGATCCCGACGCGGGGCTCGATCCCAGGACCCCAGGATCATGACCTGAGCCAAAGGCAGACACTTAATGACTGAGCCACCCAGGTGCCCCTCTCTTTTTTCTATGTACTATTTTCACCCCTAAGGCTAGAGATTGTCTATAGATGCTCCTCAACCCAAAAATTAGGAAAGAGAGAGCCTCATCTCTGTTCAATTTACGTTAAATAATTTTGGCCCCTATGATAGAACTGGTATGCCAGAGATAGCCTCAAATTTAAGTTTTTTCCTTAACAGTCTCTGGGCCCATCATGTCCTGAATCATCTAAGAGAAAACCTAGAAAAATCCTAGCCAGATGGGGGCATGGTGTCTGTGAAAAGATTAAGCTTACTTAGAATGAAATAAAATCCTTAATTGCTTCTCTCACAGATAATCTGTAAAATTAAATTTTGGTATTTCGTCAAGATAATACTAACTGGTAGGACCATTTGGATTTATATACTACAAATATTTTTTGGTAGTGTATTTTATTTATCTATCTATCTATCTAAGCCACCCAGGAACCCTTATATTACAAATATTGACATAACAATGCACAACAGGGTATCTTACACTGGGAAGGAAGAATTGTGTAATATAAAATGAAGAATTTGTAGCTCAGGAAAGGTAGCAAGATGAATTTAAAAGCTTGAAAGATCATGCCAGATTTAGCCTGGTTAAAATAATCTAATTTTTTGCAAATGTGTCCTAATATTAGTAGAAATAAAATAATAGAAGGCAGATTATCAAGTTTAAGAATCTTTTTTTTTTTTTTTAAGATTTTATTTATTTATTTGAGGGAGAGAGAATGAGAGAGAGAAAGCACATGAGAGGGGGCAGGGTCAGAGGGAGAAGCAGACTCCCCGCCGAGCAGGGAGCCCGATGTGGGACTCAATCCCGGGACTCCAGGATCATGACCTGGGCTGAAGGCAGTCGCTTAACCAACTGAGCCACCCAGGCGCCCTCAAGTTTAAGAATCTTATACTTATTGTGGCACCTGGGGGGCTCAGTTGGTTAAGCTCCTGTCTTCGACTCAGGTCATGATCCCGAGGTCCTGGGATTGAGCCCCACATCTGGTTCCCTGCTCAGCGAGGAGTCTGCTTCTCCCTCTCCCTCTGGCCCTCCCCACTGCTCGTGCTCACACGCTCTCTCTTTCAAGTAAGTCAATGAAATCTTTAAAAAAAGAATCTTATACTTATTTATCATTATGAATAAATTCACTGTAGATGACTCAGAGGCTGGTAGGATGAAACTGCTACTTCCTAAGCACTTAAGATTTTTTTCTTTATCACCAGTTTGGAAAAATTTGATTATGATATGCACTGGTGTAGTTTTGTTCATGTTTCTTGTGCTTAGGTTTTGTTGAACTTCTTGGAACTGTTGATTCATAGTTTTCATCAAATTTGAATTTTTTTAAAAAGATTTTATTTATTTGAGAGAGAGAGAGAATGAGCAAGGGAGTGGCAGAGGGAGAAGCAGGAGAAGCAGACTCCCCGTTGAGCAGGGAGCCTGATGTGGGGCTTGATCACACGACCCCAGGATCATGACCGGAGCTGAAAGCAGATGCTTAACTGACTGAGCCACCCAGGCGCCCCTCAAATTTGAAATTTTTTCATTTTGTCTTCAAATATTTTTTCTTTCCTTCCCTTTCTTCTCTCTCCTGGGTCTCCAATTATACGTATATTTTCATGGATGAAATTCTGCCACAGCTCACTGATGGTTGTTTATTTTATATTTTAAAAAAGATTTTATTTATTTTAGAGAGAGAGTGTGAGGGGGGGGAGGGGAAGAGGGAGAAGGAGAGAGAAAACTCAAGCAGACTCAGCGATGAGCACAGAGCCCGACTTGGGACTTGATCCAGTGACCCTGAGATCATGACCTGAGCCGAAATCAGGAGTTGGACCCTTAACTGACTGAGCCACCTAGGTGCTCCTGCTGGTCCTTTATTTTTTAAAAATTATTTTTCCATAAAAAAAAAATAAGAAAAATAAAAAATTATTTTTCCTCTCTGTGTTTTATTTTGGATTGTTCTTAATTGCTGTGTCCTCAAGTTCACCAGTCTTTCAGTCTTTTCCTTAGCAATGTCTAATCTGCCATGAATCCCAGTCATATATTTTTCATCTTGGACATTGTAGTTTATATATCTAGAAGTTCCATTTTTTTTGTCTTCCTTTTCTCTAGTTACCTTTTGGAACATATATAAAATAGTTGTAATAACTTTTTTAATGTCCCTGTTTGCCAATTCTAACATTTGTATTAGTTCTGGTTCAGTTTTTATTGATTGAGTATTCTCCTTTTGGCTTGTGTTTTCCTGTCACTTTGCATGCTTAGTAATCCTTGACTGATTGCCAGACATTGTATTATTTGCCTTGTTGGGTGCTGGATATTTTTGTATTCCTTCCAGTATTGCATTGTGTGCATGTGCCAAACTTTATCTGTTTTACTCTTGGGGGGTATTTGGGTAATTTTCAATTTTTGGCAATTGTTAAGAATGCTGCTGTGAATATTCTAGTACATGTGCTTTGGTGAATGAGCATGTGTATGGATTTTCATTCAGTATGTATACCTGGGAATGTAATTGCTGGATCATAGGGTATTCATATGGTCAGCCTCAGTAGGTACTACCAAATACTTTTATAAAGTAGATGTGCCAATTGGTATTCCTACTAGGTGTTTGTAATAATTCTACTTGCCTTATGTCACCATTACTTGATATTTTTCTTTTTTATTAGAGCTACATTTTGATTTTATGTTTTTTAAGATTTTATTTATTTATTTGACAGAGAGAGACACAGCAAGAGAGGGAACACAAGCAGGGGGAGGGGGAGGGGGAGAAGCAGGCTTCCCGCCGAGCAGGGAGCCCGATGCGGGGCTCGATCCCAGGACCCTGGGATCCTGACCTGAGTCGAAGGCAGACACTCAACGACTGAGCCACCCAGGCGCCCCTACATTTTGATTTTAATTTGCATTTCTCTGATAACCAATGGAATGAGCATATTTTCATAAACATTTTTCCATTTGGATATATCTTCTATTAGATTATCTTTTTCTTATTGATTCATTCCTAAGTTTTCTTTATATTTTCTAGATATGAATCCTTTTTTGAATTTATCTATAGGAAATGTCTTCTTCTAATCTATTATTTTTTCATTCATTTAATGTTATCTTTGGAAGAAAAGTAGTTCTTAATTTTAATATAGTCTGGTTAACTATTTTACCTCCTTAAATAGTTACTACTATTGTGTTCTTTTTAATAAATCCTTGCTTAGTTTAGGACAAGATGTTCTCTCTAGTATTTTGAAGTTGTCATTTCTTTGTTCTCGCTGTTTTTTTTTTTTTTTTTAAGATTTTATTTATTTATTTGACAGA